TTAAAACACGTGTATGAGCTCAAACATTTTGTAAAACAAAACTGAGCAACACACCTAATGCATGAACCAAAAAACAAAAAGCAATACAAAAACTGGACACATGGATGAACACAACACAATGATCCCTGAGTGACTGTTCCACAAGTATTTCATCTTTCCTTCGAAGTTTGCAAGACAGCAGTTAAAAATTCTTTAAAGAAAAATGAGTTCAATTCTACATGACCAGTGATGTTGTAGACAAGCAAATAAGGACTTGCAATTATAAGAAATAAAAGCTTTAATAAGCATCTTTAGGAAGAAAAACAAAAACTATACTTTTAACACATTTTTACCTTATTTTAAGGGTCAGGGTCATATTTTAAGGTAACCATGTAATTAAAATAGCATGATTTCACAATCATATATTACACCAGTGCTATGGTAAAGTTCTGTGGGTGATCTGCTTTTGGTAGTAAACGGTAAGAGAGACGGATGTTTTAAACAGGCCTGAAAGATGGGTACCCTGTGACAGATTCTCTCTGTTTCTGACAATGGAGCTCACTAAATCCTGTGCACGGGTATTGCAGCAGTGATGTAAGCACCACAGGCATAGATACACATATACAAATAGAAAACACAGGGGCAGAGAATAAACACCTAATACTTCTGAATGTAAGCAGGACAGCTTGAAGTAATTAACACACACGCATATGAGATACTTCAATTTAGGGTTTTAAATGGCAGTGACAGGTGATTATGCACTAAAATGTTTGGTCTTATGAGTATAACATTATATTGATTATAGTATTTTGATTTTCCAATATATAAGTAATTGTCAGTGACATTTATATTAATCAGGCTGAACTTTAATCATACTTTAGATCAACCTGTTTTACTTATTGTTTCATTTGTGCTTTGGTTTGGGAAGTTGTTTCTTTACTGATCCTTTCCTCTCTTCTGTTATAAGACTTGAGATATGACTGCTCTATGTTGTTGCTGTTCACGCCAGTCAATTCTATAAGACATGCTGTGTAAGTAAATACGACAACAGTTTGGTCTGAATTTCTTAAAAGATTATATCTCACAAACTTAGTTTAGAGGGTCCACATTGTCTACACTGTATATAGTGAAGTCTGCAAGTTTTTGAACAGGGAAATTTGCTTCTGCAGATCATCACAATGAAAAATTATTGTCCATGTTTGCATATCCCTTTTTAAAAAACTTGTTTTCATGACATTATTGTGTGTCGGTGGTTAGGGCTATCCAGACTGACAAGTGGGACATTGAGTGTCACCTTTCCGGTGGGGAGGGAGCCTGAGATTGTCTAAATTGAGGTCTGTTCTATAGCAAATGCAGAAAAAAAATTGTTAAGAAAGGAAATAAGTTGGTTTTCTAAAAAATATGATTGTTCGCTTGTGGACCACCAGGACAGATGAGTCCTCCGTCACAGATGGTGTGGTCAGTGAGGATGGTCACCTGCACTTTTAAGGCCATTACATCTCTAATCCACATCCACTGCCACTGTACCTAAGGGTAGTTGGGACAATGTTAAAGACTTTCTTCTGCACTTGCATGTGGAACACCTAAATCCATGACAGTCATTCAGGCAGTAATACCAGGCCTGGAACCAAGCAATCCTTAAAATATTACAACATACCAAGCTTCTGTGTTTGAAGGCAAAACAAATGTGTTGTTTGATCCAAAGACAATAAATACATTTATACTGATTATATAAGTAATGTAACTTGCAAAACAAAGTTGTGGAAAGCCTAAACTTGGATTCAGAATAACTAAATCTGAGACTTTTTTTCATTGTAATATTATTACAATGATGGCAATGTAATTGTTTGTTGTTCAGCAGAGTCCAGTATGTTTGCTGATATACTTTTTTGCATTTGAAAATAAAAGTTAGGCTGATTTTAATACCATTACAGGAAGTGTTGTTAATTATTATTTTTGAATCATACTTGCATACAGTATAACATTAGTATAAGCGTTGTACTAGACATTTCAAGGATAATAAAACTGTTTTTTAATCACATTAAGTTACCACAAATTGATTTTTAATTTAGTAGAACTTGAAATTTTAATCAGTGGGTAAACAATTAGTATGACACAGTCAGTCAAATTATTCTTGGTACTGTATACTTGCAATGAATAAGTTGTTCTAACATAGTTATCTTAAGTAAACATTACTAGTTCTGGGAACTAATTAGACTTTATAGTGTATTTGAAGCTGATGGTGTCTCTGGAGTCGCGGCGTAAGATCCTTCAGAGGCTTGCAGTTGTGCATAAACCTGCCATTCAGCCATCCCTAACCAATACCCACAAGCAGAAGCAGTTGCAGTGGGCCCAGAAATGCATCAAGATTAATTTTCAAACAGTCTTGTTCACTGATGAGTAGTGGATGGCAACCATGTCCCAACTTGAGTGCAACATCAGCAAGGAGGTGGGGGAGTCATGTTCTGGGCTGGAATCACGGGGAGAGAGCTGCTAGGCCCCTTTTGGGTCCTGGAAGGTGTAAAAATGGTAAATTATATAGAGTTTCTGACTGAACACTTTATTTATGGTACAAAAGGAAGTGTGCATTCTGTAGCAAAATTATCTTCATGCATGACAATGCACCATCTCATGCTGGAAAGAATACCTCGGTGCCATTGGCTGCTATGGGAGAAAAACTAATGCTGTGGCCCCCATCTTCCCCTGACCTTACCCTTATTAAGAACCTTTGGAGCATCCTCAAGAAAAAGATCTATGAGGCAGTTCACATCCAAACAGCAGTTGTGGGAGGCTATTCGGACATCTTACAAAGAAATTCAAGCATAAACTTTTTAAATATTCACAAATTCAATGGGTGCAAGAAATGTGAAGTTTATATCAAAGAAGGGGTCCTATATTAGCATGTAATTTGACCTGTTAAGATGTTTTTGATTTAAATAGCGTTTGGTTTCAGTAAATATGACCACCCTAAAGCTGCAAATTGAAGAAATAACAGCTTTCAATTCTTTACAACCAATAAAATGTTTTTAAACTCTGTTGTGCATAATAATTTGGAACAGTGCATTTTGAGGGGTTTTTTTCTTTTTTGCAAAAACGTAGATATCATTGGGAGGTTTGTATAATGCAATTTGAATTGTGCTCTAATGGCTGATGACTTGAAAATTATACAGACTGCCATTTGTATCAACTATATTATTTACATAATAATTTGGAACGCAGTGTGTTTTCAGGCTAAGATTTAAGACTTTTCAGCCATTAATATCCACGCATGCTCACAGATTTGACACATCTACAAATCTGGTTACACACAAACGGATTTCAATATGTACACATTTATTTCCACGCAGACCAAAATGCGCACACACATTGCTAAAACAAAACCATGTTATGGGTGCGACTATGATTTGAAACTGCACCTCACATGACTACCTGTGAAAGGAAGCTCTTTCACGCAGACGCTTTGACCATTTGAAGGAAAACAGAATGTAGGCTACATAGTACCTCCGTTATAATGACCGTGCACCTATATTTGTGCACACAGTAGACGCCATCATATTTCATATTCACTAAGTCGACTGCCAAAACGAAGCCTGAGGTGAGAATTTTGTTTATGAATTTTTTTCGTTTTTCTATGTTCCTGTAAATCGGCTAAATGTTTAAGTAGAGGCAAAGAGAATCATTCAAGAATGAGTTAGTAGATATGATTGTGCAAAGTTTTAATGTTTAGAAATTGTTAAAAGTATAGTTTTTAATGTGAGCGTGTGCTCTTTAACTTTAAACCGAGCTACGACTCGACGGATTGTCTTATTATTAGGGAGGGGCTGTGCAAATGTTATGCTGACAGCAGCATTCCAGCCAGATCCGACATACAGCTGAACTTCCAAAGTTTCTTATATTAGATTCTAAAGGAAAGTCTTTAAACACACTGAAACGGTAATTCAACACCGAAATATTGTTCACTTGGGGAGTTTTTCAATACCAAGTAGGCTACATTTAGTCATTTGTATATGCAAACTTGGTGCAAACAAGTTCGAACTTGCCCAGTTCACTTTCAGTTTCCGAGAACACAGCTCAGCTCCAGTTTTTTCTTTACTCACTACCCTTTTACAATGGCTGCTCGATAAATCTAATTCCCACGGGTTTTTCTTTGTTTGTTTTTTCCTTTGTTTGTTTGTTTGTTTGCTTGCTTGCTTGCTTGCTTGTTTTTATTTAAAAAATGTATTCTAAGGACTTTGGCAAAACAATTTGG